CCATACGGCTGAGTTTGTGACCGTCAGACCATCTGCACAGAGAGGAGGAGGCCAAACGAGTTTGTAAGGAGGCGGTGGCGTGCACGCAAGATCACTGCCCTCTGCTGAATGCAAGAGGCTTGTGAGATGCGCAGGGTTTCCCCACAGACCGAAAGCTGCGGTCGCAGGGCAATGGCATCTCTTGCATTTCAAGTGCAACATTTAGCAAGAGGAGATCAAGCATCACTTAAGCCCACAGCCATTGTGGTGGTACTATCACAGGACAGTCAATAATCCTAAAAATACTGATACAAAATACGATGGAGCCTGCTCTGTCATCTGTAAATTAAAGGAGATGCACTATTTTCATATTTCTAGTGTTTATGCACAAACATTTGATGATGTCAAAGGAGCTGCTACTGAGCAAAAGGTACTTTGCCCAAAATCAACATACACTTCGCCAAGTCACTCTTTCAGTCAAGTGGGTTATTAGGTTGGCCCCAGTTTGTACAGTTGTCTTAGAGTTAATTTATAGATCCAAACTTATACTGCATTTGTTGCTATTCAGATCTATCCACGTTTTAGTTTCACGTCTCTATAGATTTGATCAACAGAATTTAATTTTTCACAGATCTTGCTGACCTTTAATGCTTTACTATCATTACATGGGGAAGAACACACCGGCAGTTCCGAAACAGATCCTTCTAAACATCCTTTCCCCTCTCACCATTCCGCAACAGCAAAGGGTCTTCCCTATTCCTTCCACAGCTGTCTTGAGTTAGACTACATGAATAAGCTTATTGGATAACTACCTAATTGAACATTAGCACAGAAACAAAACGCTTAAACTGTCACTTCGCATTTTCAAGACAACTAACTTATTTTTAACATAGTCCTCAGCAAGCCAGGAGTGCACAGAGGCTCAGACCAACATAGTCAAGAACACGGAAAAAAAGAGAAGTTGCATGCTTTAATTCCACCATTTCCATTTTGCTTTTTGAAATCTGTTAAAACAACTTGTCTGCTTAGTTTGATCAGTGCTCGAATGAAAATTTCCTGCCCTTAATTACTGCTGATGGCAGACTGATAACAGCACATGGAAACTCTGCATAAGGTTAAACCTTTAAAGAAAAGGAATTAAAAATGGCTTGAAGGATATTTTTTTTATGAGTAGGATAAAATTATTCTTCTTTACAGACACAGTAAGTACAGTGCTTCACAGGTAGCGCAGTTAGAGGGTTTCCCTCCCTTAGACGCCAAGCTATTTTATGTAAAAGGAATATTCCGTCCCTGCTTCAGACTGGAAAATGGAATCAACCAAATCCCAAGCACTGTGAATGTAATCCACGATGTCAGCCCTGGCACCGGCTAATACTTCTCGTAGGAACCCACTGTCAAAACCAGAGACAAGAGCAGATGAAAACGCCTCCGTGGGAGAGCTTAGCCTGACCCTTCCCCTCCGCTCCCACGGCTTTACTCTGAAAAGCGACAGCTCCAGTTTGTCGCAGTTTCTGCCACTGACTGTTTCATCAATTCACCATGAACTCAAAGACTGCCATGAATACTGCATAAGATTGCTCCAAACATGCTTTATTTCTGTACCTTTGATTATTCTGTTGCTGTGCAGTCTCTACACTGGCTCACTAATTTCTCCAAGCACACCTGATGAGGGCCCTCAGGTTCACGCAGAAAAAGCCATCCCTGCCCACGGCATTTCACCTGCCCGGGGCCGCAGCCTCTCCTGGATTGTTTCACTGAACGGGGTCATGGATTTCTTCGACAGAAGAAATCTTGGGGAAACATGTAGGTGAAGCAGCTTGGGGCACTCTCCCCACCAGTGGTTCCTCATAAAGGCTGAACACGGCATTGGGGGTGGGGGGGTGGTGTAGCTTCTACCTTTCAGCCATTTCAATTTTTAATCGTATGTCTGTGCTCGGCTGTCACTTGCCATCGCACGCAGGGAGAACCTTCATCACTCCAGATGACTCCAAGCCGTCTAGTCACTTTTAGGATGGCAGAACTGTCTTGGTGACGTTGCAAACTTGTGCTAAGTACACTTTGGCCAGGCAGCTGCCCCAGTGCTGGTGACCCCTCTGTGCCAATGTTTCTGGTACGCGTGAAGGTCTACTGATGCAGATTTTCTTCCATGAAAAGGTGTAATTAAACACCAAGAAAAAGACCTACAAACACTACACCTACACTCACATACTTCTTTCAGCACAGCACTCCCCACGTAACGTGGCCGCAGGCAGCGGCTCTGCTCTCGTGTAAACCAATCTTCGAGCAAACGCCAAGAGATGAGCTGGTGCACTGATCTGTTACAGGCACAGGGCTCAGGAAGAGACTGTCTTTAAACAGGAAACCTAGCGCCAGAAAAAGTGCCTTGTTAACTCTTTAGGCCCTGAGGCTTTGGTAGTAAAACATATGGTCAGAATTACCAGCCAAAGCAAAGCAGAACAGCTCACTGTGGCTGCAGCGCCCTAGGAACACGCTGCCTTGGTTTACAACATTCGGTTTTTTTATAATACGAAGAACAAAAAAAAAACCCCAAAACTTATTAGCAGAAAGCAGTACTTTCTTGCAGTGCTCAATTCTTTCAGAGATTTCTTACGAGAGAGAGGCCTGTCATGATAAATACAGATGCTTTTCAAACGGAAAAGTGAATTCTTTCCAAAAGGGATTCCTGGATTCTAGGCAAAATTCGGTTTTCAAAAGCTTAAGGGCTAAACTCGAAGCAAGTTTTCTTCTCCTTAAGTAATGCAAATGGGAAACTTTAAACACAGATTTTTTTCAAGCAGATTCCATATCTTACTGTCAAAAATTAAAATTTGAATGTTTCCGAATTTAAAGATCAGCACTGTAGACCTTTTAAAACAAGCCAAAGTTACACAGCAAAAGTATTACACCTTTCCTTAAAAAGTGTAAATTCTTGGAAAGTCCTCAAAAGAATCTACTTCATTAGAGATGAGAGCCCAATCTCATCGTCGGGCAATTCTTTTGTTCTTCTGCTTTGCACTAAAGGTCTGTATTTATTCATTCCTAGCGGTTGCTGCTCTGTTGGCTCCTGATGCCACCCCGTGTATCTCTCACTCAATGGGGGATTCAGACCCCGTCCCTGCCCTCGGGCAAAACATATGTTCCGCTCCAACCCGAATCCAACGAGGGTGTTTGCAAGGGAATAATTGTTTTATGTTTATTAATCACCTGCATGCAAATAGGCGCCAATAAAAACTCCAGGCACATTCTCTGCCAGACTCACATGATCCAATAGCACCACACCCCAGTTCGGGGGTCTGAAGTAACGAATGCCTCCAACAAGGAGCCACTGCCACTTTGATATGCAGTGGCAAAAATATCACACCAGCTCAGCCACTCTGCAATGACGACTTTGCAAAGAGAGACAAGAAACCTGCAAAAACATTCAACATCAGCGGTAAAATAAATTAGAGATGCTGCATATTAAGCTAAACAAATACATTAATGCAACACGAAGGGGTGAGATTTCAGTTGCGGAACTACAACACTCACGCTCTACTCACGTTAAATGTGACGTGCCGAGAGAAAATAACCCGGCTAGAGCTTCCTTTCTTACAGTGTAAAAAAGTTTGAAAAGGTTTTTAAAAGAAAAAGCAAATTTTAGCAAAATGTTTCAGAGGGTTATATGCCATTGGCCTTAAATAAAAGCCACTGCAGCCACGATTACAGCAAAACTAGCTGATAACTAAGCTCGTTCTGGAAAATATTAAACTACAAAGCCTGATGGGACTTTAGTTAAAAAAATAGATTGAAGTAAGGGCAGTGTTAAGAGGCAGGATGAGTTAAGGCACTGGAGCTGCGAATTTCTCCTGTGACATTAAGCAAGTCTCAGTCTCTAATCCAGATCCCATACGTTCGATAAGATGGGAAAACTTGGTCTTTAATACTCACAACTTTCTGGGGAAGAGACTAACACTCTCAAACACACTACTGAGGCAAGACCAAAAAAGCTTCGACAAATAAAGACAGTCAGTTAGGTCTGTCACTTACCTTTCCCAACTGAGAACTTGGGCGTTACATCGCATAAGTAATACGGTCTGCACACAACCTTGTACACATCTCTCTTCTTTCCAAGACTCTTTTCCCAAGCTTATTCAGACATAAAATAAGCACCCAACCAGAGCATTGTAAATGGTTAACTCGTTCAATGCAAATTCAAGTAGGGAAGCGGTCTCACTGAAAATTATTCTCCCAAGAATCACTCTGGGCAGACTGCAAGTATCAGCCACATGATAATTATCTGAGGCTGTTCTGTGAATGGAGTTTTTATACGGAGGCATCATCTGCAGCCTACGGACAGATCAGTGATTACCCTCATGGAAACAAAGCTCTAGCCAGCTGAGAGTATCACAACGATTTATGAAAAGTGCTGCAGTTTCACTTCTCATGGAACTTTACGTTCTCCTAAATATACAGAGACATCAATTAAGAAAAAAAAAAAATCACACAATTGATACTTCGGTTTGTATTTAAAATACTTAACGTAGTTACAAGCCTACTGCACTAGCAGAATATTCCTTCCCAGGAACAGAACCGCGGCCAGGTGAGTTAAAAATGGCACTAGCATTTAAAAACCATTCTCCTTGAAAATCTGTTCTTTCACCTTTCACTTGGATTAAACTGAAACAAAGTATAACAAAAGCAAATCAGGTCTTTGAAAACCTGATTATTATTGTTTTATAAAGCAAACAGTGGAACATCTTTGGAAAAATAAAGTAGATGCTGTATGTTTAGCATGAAACACCCAGCGTTTGTTGAGCTTTAATTATGTGAGTGGGTGACAGCACATTTTCATCTAGAAAATATAGTACCAGTTTTCCCACACATAAGAAAACTTATGGGGAGGAGGAAGTAAAAATCTCAGAAGAGGAAAGAAGGATAAGTAACCTGAATGTGCACCCATTAACAGTAAATCATGTTTCCCCTTCACTGTGGAACGATTTACTTAGATGCTCTCAGGAAGGATCAATGGAATAAAAAGATAAAACTGGCTATATAAATGTCAATCTTTATTCGATCTCCCAGTGCAGTACATGACTGTGTGCTTCAAATGAATAGAAAAAACCAAAAGTGAACAAAAAAGACAACTGCTGAAGAAAGACCTCAGGGGTTAAGACATCGCTTTTGGAAGGGGGATATTGTCGACTTCATGGATGCCATCTTTGTCAATGAACCGGGCATTGAAAGAAGTCAGATTTAGGATGAAGCGTTTCTGAAGCTGTTCAACAAAAGACAAAAAGACAAAAGAGATGAGATTCATTCAAAGCTTAGATAAAAGAGGAGAGCATAATTTAAGGGATATATGATTGCACATCAAAATTTCCATTCTGGTTCTAGTGACCTGAAACATTAGGAACTAGAGTGGTTTTTTTACTGCTCAGGAATCAATTAGCATGAGTTTGTTCTCTGTTTTAAGACTATCCATGTTGGACAAGACTAGAGATGCAAAATACACAAGCCTGTTAATGAGGAAGACATTCAAGTAGGAAGATGACTAGAATGGGCTGCAACTTAGGGCACAAAGCATATGTATCAAAAAGACACTTCAAACAAAACCTCTTTAGAGTACTTCTTCCTGATGTTTCCCCAGATGTTTTTCCCCAGTTACATTCCATTCAACCTCTTAGAGACAAGGGTAAAGAATATTTTCCTATAATAAAAGCCTTGGAGTCTGAAAGGTTATGTTTATGCTAAAATTGACCATGAACTTTAAGGTCAAATCTTTACCTCAGTTAGATATCACTTCACAAGCTGGAAGAGAAGTACACATTAGTTAAGTGTAATACAAGTAACAGAGGATGCTTGCATTATGTTCAGAAGAAACATAAAAGGAAAAAGTCAAAGGCTGTATCGATATTATGCTAAGCATGGAAGAAGCAGAAGTAAAGAAAAGCAATTAAGCTTCAAGTTTATGTTCTGGAGGACACGAACCATGCTAAGACAATGCAAGTGCCCACAAATCCTTTTCCTCAGTAGCTATTTCACATCTGGTCAATGCACATTTATTACCCCTTCTGGCAAAGGCAGCAAAAAAAATGCAACGAGAGGAACAGGAAAATATCAGTAAATGAATGCAAACAAACATTCCTTTCTCAAGATCATAAGGGCCTATTTTGGCAACTCACCTCCTCTAGACATTTTTTTAGGAGCTCCACAGCTTCCTCACGTGTGATACCTGAAAGAGAAAACATCCACAGATTGATTGAATTAGAGGCCATCTCTCTCAACAGAAACTTTATTAAATTTAAACAACTTTTCAGCTGAGCACCAAAAACTCTCCTTCCCAGCTCACAGAAAACACTTTCCAGATGTACTGAGGACGTCCTGCACCAAAGCGCTCACACTGCAACAAGCCATTGAGAATCGATTTGTTACACTGAATGGGAAGCATGACGGAATTCTGCCTCCCATGGCCAGGGACTGGGCTTTGGAGAAGTCCAGCCGTCTCTCTCTTCTCGAGTTTATTACAGTTTTAAATCAGCTCCATCTGTCCACAGCCGGCTGCAAGTCAGCGACAGTAGGCGGAGATTGGTTTTAGTGCTACGTTCCCTGCTGGGTATTAGTTTTAATAATGGGAAAGGCACGTGTGCGATGCCCCTGCTATTCTCACACATTAGGATAAAATCCAGCACTCTGTAGGGATGGCAAGCCATGACAACGTATCGTAGCTCGCTATTTTTCTCTTTTCACAAGGAATGGTGAAATGGAGCAGTATCATTTTCAGGAGACATGACTAGAAAACAAGGAAGCTCTGTGGATCACACAAAACTTGTTTCTAGAGTTTGCTCCAGGCCTGCATCCACTGTTCAGGCAGAAGTCCCATTAGAATAAAATTGTCAGTTTATAGCTACGTTTCTTGCAGGAGACAGGTGACAGGATTACTAAGCGAACATCTCTGCTATGAGATTAAACTCCGCTTTGCACACAGGAGTAGTTTTGTAGCTAAAGCCAAAGACGTCAAATTAACAATATTCCGAGCTCTGCACATTTCCTCATCTGTGAGGTGGGGATGGGCCCACGTTTATCCCTTGGCAGTGCAGGAACTGGATTATGATTCTAAAATTAAAACTTTAGACAGGTACAGACATGTACAAGAATTATGATCAAGAGCTACCACGTGCATAAAACTCTAAACCAAACCAACCAATCTTCATCATCACTACTTCAGAGTACTGAAGATAATCTTGCTCGGAATACCTTTCACTTGTGTGTTTTTCATATATCACACACAAAGCCAGTCCAAGATACGGAGAAACAGGATCTGGGACTGCCCTCTGAAGATTGATACTCTGTACATGTACAATGTACATGTCATAGCCAACAGGCAAGCAAGTAGAAGATAAAGTTATCAAAACGTTATTTATTAAAAACAGACTACCAACAGCTAATGGTCCAGGAAAGTCTAGTCATGTTTTGGAATAAATTGAAACTTCCTTCACTTACAGTCTGTTATGCTTCAAACAGGAAAACACTTAAAGGAGTTGACTAGTTTCACATTACCGTTTCAGCAAAAACAGAAGGCAATCTTTAAAGCTACATTTATTCTAACAAAAAGTCAAATTCAACTCTGTAGCATCACAGCAATTGCGCTGGACCATCTGACTCAGAAAATGTCAATCTCTCAGTTTAAGCCTTTAATTTATTAACCAGTAACAGGAGAATTTTCCTCTCCGTAGACTCCACTTACTTGGCTTGTAGTAGCGGTCAAGGATGCTGAGGGTAAGGAATGCACCATATCCATGTGCTGCAAAAGGAGCTTTAGCCAGAGCCGCAAGGTAATCCATGTAATAAAGGGCAGGACCTTCGTGGTCGTCATAGCCAGCCAGGAGGAGGTTCACATGGTAAGGGGTCTACAAACAGCAACCACGTTTTCATTAAAGCTGCCACACCCAAATCTTTGAATCTTAATTCCCCATGCCACCTACAGAATAGCAACATAGCTGGTTTCCCAATTCTTTGCCATGAAATGCTACGAGCAACTACATCAATACTGTCTGCGGGAGATTATGTATCTGGACCTACAAAAGATTAGGTCTGTTGCTAATATGGAATGCAGAAGCAAATAAAAACATAAAACTGATTCTCCTTAGAATTGGTGGGTTGGTTTTTGGGTTGCTTTCTTTTTTAAAGCTTTCATGGCACATTCAAACTTAAAAAAACTTTAATTATGTTTTCACACCAGATTCTTTCATCTCAACATATTGTGGATCTTTACTGTCAACATGTGAGCACAACGTGAACATTCTGCAGTTTATAAGGACTTCTTTGTTAATTTAGCGTGCTCTTTTCTCAGCCACGCTACTGCTAACCATAGACCATTTTAGCACATATGAAAGCTTGCAGACAGTTAATTGTTAGATTTTTATTGCACGTACCAAGTTTAATCTTTAATACTAGGCTAATTTGACAAAGTGAATGAAGAAGATCTAAGGAATCGGTTTATTTCTATGCAAAACTAAGATACTGCAACATCTGCAGCTTTTTTCTTTGGTTGGAAACAGAAACTAGAAACGTACTCTGCTTTAGCTGCTGTCTTCTCTGGTTCTTGTTTATGACTTCAGCAAGAGCCTATCAAATAAGACTGAAAAATATCTACATCTTATCCAAAAAGACCATGCAAGTGCATTAACGTAACCATGCCTTTTTACTGTGCTGTACTTGCAAGACTTGCAATTCCTTAGCCGTTTCCTTCATGTTTTAGGCTTAGTGCGTTCCACCATAATGAATAAAGCAGATGTCCCTATACATCTTCTTCCAAGATGTGTACTTTATAAGACCATGAAACATGCATTTGCTGTATTATTTTTAAATGTAGGCTCAGAAGAAAACGTGGGAATTTTATATATTTTTAAAAACTGCTTTTATATCCTTACAGTATTTTCACATTTATATAATATTTCTTATTAATCGTACTAAGAGAATACCTCTTAAAATGCTGGGAAGTCTAGATCAACAAAGCAATAAAATGAGGAAAAAAAATGATGATGCAACTAACAATAGGTTAGAACAAGCAAACACAATTTTGCCCTAAAGCCAAAACATTAACTTTATCAGAGTAGAAACTTCATTTTGATAATAAGCACAGTGAATTTGCACTCAAAATATCACAGGATACTATATTTTGACTTCCACCAAAGAGTTAGAAAGAATAAAGCAGGCTACAGTTATATATCAAACATCACTGTACATTGTATGATTTAATCTTCAAAGCATTCAAGAATATTTGGAACCAAGTTACCATGCAGCTGTATTCGTTTAATTAGTCTGTATTTCATCATTTATTTATTCTGAAACATCACACAAGTTGATATTTAAGAGCCATGACACAAGATCACTCAAATTATTGTGTGACTTTGAATTACCAACATTGGCATATGCGAGATAGTCAACCATAAATAAATGGTGTTATACAGACTTAAACAAATCTGTAAGCTGTTTCAGTTGTAAGTTCTCCCACTAATGGCGTACGAGACAACTTCTCAAAACTCAAACGTAAAAAAGCGTCCCCCATGCCTTCCTATTATTCAAGAAAGGCAGGATTTAAACATTAGAAAATATAAGTCATCTATTTACTACTGCCGTGACTACCGGTGGAATTTGCAGCCAACACCTCTTAGTGCTGTCTTGGTGGGACCAACACCTCTATGCCGGGGCTGGCATTCCTTGCACATCTCAGTCCTTCTGTGCGTTCCAAAGGCAGCCTTGGTGTTTGCAACCAAATCCATGCCAACAGTTCTAAACTCTTTAGAGGACTGGTGTAATTAAGGACCTACCAAATAAGCGGACGACTAACACACCAGGACAAATTTTTTTCCCCCTAAACTTACCATTGCTATTAGAGGCAATATTCCTCATCCCAAGTAGCTTTGCACTTTATGCTGTTTGATTTAAAATAACTACAGCAATTAAGAGATGTGTGAAATTCTTCAGACTTTACAGCTGAAGAGAACAGTTGTGATAAATACGCTAAACCAACAAGATCAGCAGCGGGAGGCCGGGCGGTGACAAGCAGCGGTGTGACATCTGGCGGAAGCCACAGTCACAGCAAGGGGGGAAAGGTGGGCGCGAGGAAGCATCCTGCCAAGCGTGGACAAGGGGAGAGGAACTGACAGTCTGCCTTTGGACTCGGGCCAGACCCCGTCACCTATAATTAAACATAGCATCACAACAAGAAACTGAACTTTGTTGGGTTTGGAGGGGCAGGGGGTTATTTTTCCTACTCCCCACCACCAGGAAACCTCAGCCGTACGTTAAATGTATAAAACCCAGCACTGATTCAGCAGGTGAATCAAGCGAGATGCTGCAGTAGGTAACGGTGGAAGACGAGCCACAGCACCACTCACCTACGTGAAAGCCCGTTGGCTCCAAAACGGTTTCTAGGTTTGCCTCAATTGCAACATAGAGATGGAAATCAACAAAGATTCTTTTCAGATCCTACTATGGAGTATAAAACCCATGTTTTAAAAAGAGAAATGAAACGGCCTTAAGTTCCAAGCCCAGTGTCATTACACTCGATGCTTTGCACCAAAAGAACAACTTCAAGGCGCTGCCTTACAAGGGTTGTCCCTAAAATACCAGGAACTGGGCCTACATGAGCCACAAGGTTCATAAGCTAAATCAAACTAGATAACATAGGGAGGAATCCAGATGGTGATTAACAATGCAGAACGAGCTCTATTTTGGGCTGGGCCACGACAACAGTATAAAGCCTGAAAAAATACTGTTTCACTGTTTGCCACTCCCCTTCACATACCTTCTCGCCCTCCGTAACAGAAACACCTTCACACGGTAAATGGCAATACGGCGAAAAACCACCTTCCCCCCAACAAACTTTTTACTTCTAAACTACTTGCCTGCTCCTAACAGGAGGTGATGGCGTGTTTTACCTTTTCATTTTTTATGTTTATCATCCACATAATTAAATTAGTAGCCTCCAGGAATCCTATAAGCAATTTAAATAGATAAAGAGAACTAGTATTAACCTTTCTGGTATCCTGCAAATTACAACAAAAATGTAACAAAATTCACAGGAAAATTCTGATGGCAAGGTTTGTATTGTCAAGTTCCAAATCCCACAAACAAATCATTAACTGCTATGTTTAAAGAAGAAGAGTTCTCCCTGCAGTATAGAGATCGCTGTAGTGTGACAGTAGTGTCAGAGTGCGCCGCTTGCTCCAGGGCATTGCCATCTGCAACAGCACAACACTTTGTCTCCGGTAAATAAACACATCTGCCTTTGCCAGTGTCCTCCCCACTGTGCTGCCCATCTGGAGCAGGTGAGCTGGAAGACAGGCGTGGGTGCAGGAAGGAGGGGAGACACAGGGAGGATCAGGCCTCAGGGGACACGGCACAGAGGAAGATGACAGTGCCACATCAGTGCCACGTCCTGCTGGCCAAGTTTACCGAAAAGCCTGTTAAACTACACCTGTTAGCGGAACTTTAAATAGTATGCAAGAAATGGCTGCTTCTGCTTTAGCGGGCAGGACATTCGGTGTCAGCATCCGTGCAGGTCAGACACCCTTGAGAGAAGCCACCGGCACCAGGCAGCCCAGTCAGCTGGGCTGGGCACCGCAGCATTACTCCTTCACACCAACCTCAAAAACTGCACGCGGTTCCACAAAACACACACAGACCTTCCAAATCACATCTGAGCTAAAGCAAGCAGCACCACTGCCAACCATCTTCTGCCAACCATGCCCAATCCGTGTACTTGGGTGAAGTCATTTAAACCACAAGAGTAGCATTTTGTGGATGAGACTGAGGCAGGACCCTGCACTGAGCTCTACCGACTCGCTTTAACTTTAGTCACTTGAAAACTTGCTACCTTCAGCCATCATCCATGTCAGACATGAGAACAGCGATCTTCAGTTGTTCCTGCGGATGAGTTCTTGAAGAAGGGTCTGGGCCTCACTCCACACATGTATAATTCTCAACAATACAGCTCTAATGTTAATACTGGCCTTTATTTGCTACTGCAAAGCATCATTTCAGGCCCGTGCAGCATACTGTTAGAATAGCAACATAATTTATCCCATGCCCTATCCCCGATAGAGTTGTTCAATTTCATTCTCAGAATCCTTTTTCTTCTTGTTTTCTTTCACGTAGCACATCATTGAGAAGAATGCTAATGAAATTCCTCCTAACCTTGGATCCTTAAAAGTCTGTTTGTCCCTTCATGATATCTTTTCATACTTTGAAAAAATTACCATGAGTAAAATCAGTAATTGCAGTTTAGCAACTTGAAAATACAGTTCCAACTTGGATTTGATATTTACCGAAAGCCTCATGTTGCTGTTTACAAAAGAGACTTGTTTTGCTAAGTACATCAAACGGCTTCGCTCTATTAAATCATTTTCCAAGAAGATTAAACGGATTCAGTGCATTTGCATGAAAACTGACAACCTTATCTCGATGTTAAAGAGGCTTAATTCACTTAGCTGTCTGCACTGTTTGTGACAAAATGTCTATTGGGCCCAAGGCTGGAATTTTAAGCCTATAGTTGTATCAGTTATTGATAAGCGATGTGGTAAGTTTTTTAAATAAGCAAATCAAGTTATATTTTAATAAAACATCCTTTCAGCAACTGAATTCATCACTAAAGAGAGAAGTCACCACCTTTTTCATCAGACTCTATTACTTGAAAATGGAAATTTCCCCCTGTAAGCCTTTGCCAAAATCTTTCAGCTATTACTCACTCGACTCCGAAGATAGTCAGCTAGGTTTCGTCGCGTAAAGTTTGCAGCTGCAGTAGGAGACAATTCATAACCTGGAGAAGAAATGTGTTTATTTGATAACAGTGCAAATCCATATTCACATTTCACTTCCTGACTTTCCATTCCTATTTTGAAATAACAAGATATTCTGTCATGACAAAGTGTCCTTTGTCTAATTCCAGTCTATTCTGAAAGCTACAAGCATAAAAAAAGCCCTCAAAATCAGGGTAGCTCATCTCTGTATAGACCATTAAAATACATAGCTTCAAAAAATTACAATGCTATGGGCATGTAGCTTGAATTTTTCAGTCCAGTATATCCGGAAAACTGATAATATGTCCACACATGACAACTGTTAAGAGAAATATTTTACTAACAAATCTATTATTATGTCATTTATATTACAAACGGGTTAGCTGGGCTTTGGATAAACCTCTTGGTTTATGCTATGTAATCCAACCTCCATTTCTTCATCCTGCCTTCACCACTACCTTTGCTTGACACCAAAAATGCCAAACCCTTAAAGCTAGAGAAGCTTTGAGAACCTTCCACCAACATTCAACTGTTAACTATACCTCTCGTTAACTGCTTCCAAACCCTCAGTGAGTAATTGCTCTCGTTCACTCACCATTCCTCATTTTGTAGAGCTGAACATTTTTCTGGATGTATTCTGCAAACTGTACAGTGTCTCCAGCCTCCCCAACACACAGGAGTAAGATCTTTTCGCTCATCTTAAACATTTTGTCATGGTCTAGGCAAAGAAAAATAACATTAGGAGCCACGGTCATGAGAAAGAATAAAACGTTTTGCCGATGTCGTAACACATCATGATTTCTTTCAGAAGCAAGAAAGTAAAAGACTTCGATAACTACATTACGACCTGAAGCACTACCAAAAAAGTGTTCACGAGCAAACCCTAACATTCAGCTCCTCACAGTTGGTGGCACAATACACAAGACTTGTTAAACATATCACCAAGAGAAACAAAGCTGAAATGCACAAAGTGCTTCCTTCAGGAAGGGAGACCTTTCAGAAATACATGGTCTTTCTGACATAGAGACGAAAAATTCACACAGAATATTGTGTTCAGACCAACTCCAACGTTATGTGTGCTGTCTCCTTGGTTCAGGAATACGAATTTTACTCAGTAACCATTCTACTTTATCTAAATATACTACATCAGAAGCAAATCCTTTAGTATAAAGCTGAAATATCAACACATCAAGCAAAAGCAATCCTAGGAAATCCAGAACCAAATTCCACGTCAACCGATCCCCCTCTTCCTGATATCCATGACTGTCTCAAAAATCAGCAATTTAAGCGAGTCATTTTCAGAAACAGGTTTTTGCTTGTCTTTTTTTTCGTAAAAAAATTGAACATTTAAGTATTGATTATAAATTATAAAGCAGCCCACTGATATACACGGAAAGTAAGGAACAGTAAGCTACACTTTTATTCATAACTGCAGTTTTAAAAACCTGTTTGTGTATATTTCAGGGAACCCAAGCTGTCATGATGACGACACTGAAGACAATTCTGTGCTCAGCGTAACACTGCAGTCTCATGTAAGGGGACAGGCTGGCACTCCGCTACCCGAGATGGAAAAATTCAAGTAGCTGTTGGTGTGAAAGGAATGCCTTTTTTACTGAAGGCGGATCTACAGAACCACACTAAATCTCCACCTCCAAACTTCACTTTCAGTTTACTAGATGCTGAACAATCTCTGCTGCAAGATAGGTATGAGGTGTCACAATCCCCTAATATGATTTCAACAGTTATTAGAAGTACCCAACAGCTCCCCAGCAGCTGCATGTCTTGAGAGCTGAGGAAAGGCCACAGACACCAATCAGCCCTTGCAATTGATTTACAAGCTAAAGCAAGTATTAGTAAACGCCAATATTCTAAACAAATACCAGAAACTTGATCCCCCACCCAAGTCAAATAAATCCTGTCCTCAGTATATTTTCCTTAAAGTTTATCAATAAACCTACTTGGAAACAATGTTAACTTACAAAACATTGTTTAAAGTGATTATATTGCATTTTGTATCTCCAAAACCTTTCACAGCCATCTTTCTAACACTACTCCAACTGACTTTTACAGACATGAAGTGAAATATTTTACGTAAAAGTACTGCTAGTTATAACATCCATAATTTTATGGGATGTTTATGAATACTGGAGTCTATAACTTTTTTTTTTTTAAAGAGCTTCTAAACTAAAGTATTTTGACTAAAAAGATCACTACACCTGGTGAACAAGCTTCAGTCTATGTTATTGCAACAGTAGGCAGAAAAATTAATTTCAAAAAATTTCAAAGGCTTAACAATCCCCCAGATGTTTTAATACATAAGGAAACTGAAAACATACTACAGTTTGGCTCATATGGCCTGTGATATGAATTTCACTGATGCTTTTACTTCCAATATTCCCTTTTCCCCATTAATTACATTTATCAGTGAATTCGACATAACCAAGCATTTAACCTCAACTGCTGTTATCCCTGTGCAGTTTTGAACAAATCTATAGCGCAGTACAGAGCAAGGTTTGGGTTAACAAGCAAAGGGTTACCTGAGCCAGTAAGTTAACATGACAACCCAACACAGTGCAGTCATACTGGCTCAGACTTGGAAACTGTGACCAAGTGGCATTTGAGACCTAGGTTCACTCTGAGTGACAGAGACCAGCCAGCAGCCCCTAAAATGAATCACAGAATGGTTTGGGTTGGAAGGGACCTTAAAGATCATCCAGTCCCACCCCCCTGCCCTGGGCAGGGACACCTCCCCCCAGCCCAGGTTGCTCCAAGCCCCGTCCAACCTGGCCTTGAACACCTCCAGGGATGGGGCAGCCACAGCTTCTCGGGGCAACCTGCCCCAGGGGCTCACCGCCCTCACAGTCAAGAATTTCTTCCTGATATCTAATCTAAATCTACCTTCTTCCAGTTTGAAGCCATTACCCTTCATCCTGTCACTCCATGCCCTCGTAAAAAGTCCCTCTCCAGCTTTCTTGTAGGTTGCTTCAGATACTGGAAGGCACAACAAGGTCTCCCCCGAGCCTTCTCTTCTCCAGGCTGAACAACCCCAACTCTCTCAGCCTGTCCTGACAGCAGAGGGACTCCAGATTAACTTTGTGGCCTCCTCTGGACCCACTCCAACAGGTCCATGTCTTTCTTGTGCTGAAGACTCCAGAGCTGGATGCAGTACTCCCGTTGGGGTCTCACCAGAGTGGTGTAGAGGGGGAGAATCCCCTCCCCCGGCCCGCTGGCCGCGTCTCCTCTGATGCGGCCCAGGATGCGGGTGGCCTTCTGGGCTGCGAGCACATCTTGCCGGGTCATATTGAGCTTCTCATCAACCAAGACCCCAAGTCCTTCTCCTCAGGGCTGCTCTCCATCCATTAGATCCATGAAGAAAACTCAAACTCAAACACTTCAGCCTCCACCGTCACCCCCACCAGCCTATTCTAACAGCCCTTCCTCAGCTGCAGGCAGCGCCAGAGGCTGCGACCTGCCTGACCACACACAGGAGCTCACCCCCGTCGCCTGCTCATGACCGGAGCTCAGGGGGGCACCCTGCCCGCCCAGGGCCGGCCGGGCTCGGCCGAGGCTCCCCGCCGGGCCTGCCCCGGGGAGGGCAGAGCTAACCCCCCCGCTCCCCGCTCCCGGAGTAGCGGCGGGGCTGCTGGCTCCGGGCGGGCCTGGCCTCTCACCGTGCTTCATCTGGACGATGCTGGAGGCCGCCACCGTGTCGGCCGCCACCAGGATGTAGTCGGGGCCCTGAATGCCGATGAGGTACTCCATGGCCGCCCGCGCGCCGCCGTCCCCGCAGGCCGCGCCGTGACACAGCGAAGCGCCGCCGCCGCCCCCTCCTCCTCCTCGCCCCCGTCGCGCGCAGGCGCCGGCGCGCAGCGATGACGCCACCGCTCGCGAGAGCCGCCCGCCCCGGGGTCGGGGGTCACGTGGGGCGGCGGCCTGAGGCGATGGCGATGGCGGCGGCCGGGCGGGAGCTGTGCCCCCCGGGTTATACCCGCCCCCTTCCCTGGTCACGGTGCTGACACTAACGAGCCGCGGGCGGCACCGGGAAGGGGCTCGGGGGTGGCCTGAGGCGCTGGGTCGTCTGTCGGTGTCCCGCCGGCGCCTCGCAGAGCCTCAGGCCGCAGGCATCGGTCCGTCGGGAACGGAGCTCGGGGAAGGGGGGGGGGGGGTGGTGAGCGGCCCGGGCGCTCCCGCAGCGCTCTGCCCTCGGCCGGCACAGCGGCGCGCTGGGTGGGGGACGGGGGGCTCGTACACTCGAGGGGATGGGGGTTCCCGCCCACCCGGGGTTCCTGTCGGGCAGGTGTCATGAGGTTTTGATTTGGGACAAAAATCCTGTCCGTCTGCGTCTCTGCCGCCATTTCCAGCCCAAACGCACAGTGTTCGCTACTGAAGAGCACAGTTCCACGGCGGAGTCTCAATGTGGAGAACGCAGGCATGAAAATGGCGCGTCCTGCCTTTGCCCCACGCTCTGTGGAATAAAACCAAACTGGCCTGGCAGTCTCAGAGTGAACGGCTGGCTGCTTGCTGCCGGTGGTCTGTGGAGCTCCGAGAGGAAAGAAAAACACTCAAACCCCTTGTAGGGTAGCTGTTCCTTAGGCACAGATTCTTGTGGAAATACATGACTGGCGCTCCTGCAGCTTCTGATGTGTGTAGTCAAAGGGAACTGAACTATGCAGAGAAGTGAAATCCTTCCAGGAGCGATGGAGTGATTTATTTGCTGCCCACCTTTCTGTATCGGAAATCGCCAGCGGTGCCTGCTGTGCGGGGCTCCCTCTGCCACGGTCTGTGGTGACAGCGTGCCAGTCCACAGCCAGTGACTATGAATGCACGCTCAGCCCATCCAGTCCAGAGTCCTTCCTGCCGCCCTGAACACCACCCCAAGCAGAGTCCCGCACAATCGAAGGGGCGAGCCCTAGCTTGACTCACCTATTGAGCCAATAAAGGATTTTTTTTTGTCCATGGCAGCCACCAAGGGAAAACTCCTGAGCCCCAGATGTGCCTGCGGATTTTTCTATCAATTAGTGGCTTCAGAGCTCCTCCATGAGCTCAGGTAGAGAGCTTGGGTGCTATCTGTGTTTCCTCGCTTGGCTCAGCATGGGTTCTGACAACCGCTGATCAGCAACTGCTGTTCTCTGCTATTCCTCCTCCCCCCACCCAATCTACTTAAATTTCTCAGGGCAAGAAATGTCTTCTCTTAGATGGCTGTGCAGCACCCAGAAGCTTGCAGGTGTGCCTGTAATGTAGATAATTAATAACAAGAGAAACAAAACAAATACTGTCATTGCCTGGACATTGTCTAACTGCCGGCGCCGTCCTGACGCGCAGAGTAACTCCAACTGGCACTTGGTTTATTGATTAGACTCTGCCCCTGCCTGAGCCCCATCTAACACGCGCACTCAGTGCGGCTCCACAAAGACCCAGCCCCACGCTAATGAAAGGGGCCACCGAAGCATTAAACCCCCCCGGCAGTCGCCGTAAAGGAGACAGCCCCGGGCAACAAAACTCTGGATGCTCCAGCACATGGCAAGCACCCAACTGCACCTATACCAACAGAGTCACTGTGTAATTACGAGAACTGGGCATAACCTTTGTGTGGTTTAAAAAATACTAAACATGCCAAAAAGCAACAGCAAATTGTCTTCAGGAAACAGTATAAATGAGTGCAAGCAGCAAATTCACCATTTTGACTGTTTTCCAATTGCCTGTAGCTACACTTGTTAAATTGAGTGCTGCGTGCGTAAATCAAAACAGGATGTTTTCTTTTACCTAACAATGGCCAAGGTCTGTGCCAGTGCTTAAGTATTTTCTATGTGGATCCAATCTGAAGTTTTAAACATATTTTTCCCTATAGGTCTCCATAGGTATTGCACATGTGCCTACAGCCAGGCAGCCTACCTTAGCAGTTATTTTTTGAGACCTTTTTAAGAGAAGGTTAACGAAAAATCAACAACTGCCATCCTTGTTGATTTTTATTGGGCCCTAGGGTACAATTAAATGTTAAGGTTGTTATTGAATTTTCTTGACAGATTGAATTTCCCTGTTTAGGAAGCACGCGTGCATCCAGTACACACCTACCTCTCTCCTGGGGTGAAAGCTCTTCTGACATTGTTACATCGGTGTAAGAAGGACAGCAGGACATCTCTGCCTAGCAGAAATTGGGGAATATTTTCCATTAAAGGCTGCAGTGTGTCTTAAAATTGAATGTGCCTTTGCTTTTTTTATTTTCAAGACAAATGTTGCAGTTATGCGTATTTATACGTGTGCGCGCTACGCAGCCATGGTGGGGGTTATTCCAAGAGCAAAAGCTGTGAATAGCACAAGGGTGCTGAGCAGCCTGCGTAAAATTCTCGTGTGTACTGAGATACCTGATATACAATATACAGTTTCTGATACTGGGATCCTGTACCTAATATATGGGGATACTCAAAGGCTGCGGTCTTCAGAGTGTCTTTTCTCCGTAGGTTCAGGTAAGTTATGGAGCTGAAGCATCCCCGTACAAAGCAGGAACGGGAGCACAGAGAGGGAGAGGTTGTGGCAGAGGGGAGCTCACCCTCCCATCCTCCCATCACAGCTGCTAGCTTTAGCTGGAAATGCGGTATCTTCTTAAGAAGGAAGGTTGATCCTGTAAGGAACCCTGAAATTGGAAAAATAAAAAAAAAGGAAAAAAGAGATCACCCACAAAGGAGGAAGCAGCTTGAATTTATTGTGTAACTTGCCGTAACTCCCTGGATGGATCTACACCAACAAATGGGTGTAAAGATACCTGCAACGACAGGAACTTGGCAAGGACAGGCTGGTTGAGAAAAGGAAAAATGGGAGGGCTGAGAAGTAGATGGAAAAGCTGTCAAGGATGAATAGCTGTCGTGTTTTCCACACAGAGGCAGACAGGTAGTTAGTCATGTGGGAAAAGCGATAAAACAATAACAGTAGAAAGAGTCCTCAGTGCAGCCCAGGGAGTCAGTCTGCACCGAACAGAAACCCGCCGAGCCCTGGTACAGCCGCTGGAGCTGTTGGGGCTGACACCAGCTGTGGGTCTGGCCCGGGCAGTAATCGCTCATCTCCAGCGACGCGGGCTGACCAGTTCTTCCCAATTTAAGGTTATAGTTACTGAGGAAAACGTGGCATTCTCTTTACAAGGTGCTGATTGCTCCGGCGGAGAGCCCAGAGCTGAGCAGAAAATTCAGACAAGTCGTTGCATCAACAGTTGGAAAACAAGTGTCTGTGAACATATATGCTGGCTTTGCAAACCTTTCCTCATTTCTCTTTCTTCCCCGCTCTTTTTTTACCTCTTCACACGTTGACCGTGAGATATTGGAGCTGTTGTTCTTACCTTGGCACAGCAAACCTTTACCCGATGAGCCTGTGCGCTGCCGGGCCAGCCAGACGCCCGCTGCCGGCTACCCCGAGTGCCGTTGCTCTGCGACGGCGTGCGGGTCTCCTGTCAATGCTCAGCAGACTCACCACGCTCCTGACAGTTGTAAACAGCAATGCCCTGTACGGAGGCTCCCCGCAGGGTCCGCCGCAGGTCTGCGTACACCCGGCGGCACGGGGACCACGCGAATTCACATGCATGAAGGAAGGGGAAAACCCCGCAGGTTCGACCTCTGTCTCCGATCTGGTGAGCCCAAGTTCCCATTCCCCCTCCAGAGGAGCGATGCGGAGCCCTCCTGCATGTGCTGCCGCTGCCCTGTGCGAAGCCAAAGCCGGGCAGCGCTGGCCCGAAGCGTTTGGGCTCAGCTTTCTGCTCCGGCCACGGCTCACAAGGCGGCCCAGCAGGCGCGGGGCTGTGGTGTGATGTGTGACCGCGGTATGGGAGGTATTTTTCATCCTGGGGATTGTTTGACTGGTGTTTGCTCTGGCTTTTGCCCTTTGCTATCATCTGTCTCAATATGGTATGAGTAAAGATGGCGTTACGGTTACTGTAACGCCTGGACAAGGTTTCCTGCTAGGAGCTCTCTGCTTTCCAGAGAAGAAAAGGATCTTCGTGTTCCTGCTGTTTCAGGTGCAGGAAATGAAGGCGCAGAGAGGAGAAGTGATTTAGTGGAGATCACAGGGCGGGTTAGCAGCCTGGATAGGAATAGAAATGTCTTGATTCACTGAGCTCCTCTCTAGCTGCTGAAGCGTGCCATTCGGATCGCACAACCCCGGAATGAACTCTTGCGAGGCTTACATGGAGCTTTGCTCTTAATCTCTCCGTCTGGGCTCCACAGAGCTCCTCAAGCTGACTTTCTACGGGCCTAAACGTGGTCAATTTAAACAGATTCTCCTTAAGGACGGGCAAAGACAAACCTTGCGTTGCTCCTCCTGTGCCCAGGCTGGTGGGCAGTCCCTGGTGCCAGCCTGCTTCTGGCTCTGTCCTCCCTCCAAGATGCCTCCAGGTCACCAGGGAGAACGGCGCTTGATGAAGTTTTAGCTGGCAAAAGTTGCGGACTCTTTCTTTCCCACGTTTGTTTTGCTCAGCTCTCCTGCAGGCAGAGGTCAGTGCGGAGGGAGTGTGTCCTCCTCCCCCATGGCCAGCAAAACTCCTTCCTAAGGGTCCTTCTTCCTGCCAGACTTGTCAGGCAATGTCAATGCCGGGTGGCGTGGGTCCTGCGGGCACCCCACAGCAGCCCCACTGCCGGCGGGGGGAGCAGGCAGCTCTGCCCCCCTGGTCCCAGGTCTGTCGCAGAGTGTTTACCCTCCTCCTGGGATGGCAAGAACGGGGCATCCATTGGAGTGTGCAGGTGAAAATGGATTGTAACCTGCTGCCTGCCGTGTCAATAGAGCTGATTAGCGCTTGTGTGTGTCTCTGGCAGGATTGATCTCGCAGGTGAGAACGTTTCAGAGACCAGCTGGGGCCCTGCTCCTCAGCGGGATGC